GAAGAGGACCCCCGTCCCGTGCTGGGCTCATCAGCAGGCGCTTCGCCAGTCAGCACCGAGGGCGTGGGAGCCGGACAGTGTTCGCAGCGCGCTTTATCAGAGGTAGGAAGTTCCCTTTATTTCTAGCTTGCAGGCAGTTTTGTTGTTGTTGGTGGTGGTGGTGGTACAAAAAGGAGGCTAAGTGTCTGTCCAGCCTTTTCTGAATCCACCGACCCGACCACGCACAGTGCGCAGCAGTCTGCGCTGACACCACCAGGTGCCGTCCATGGGGCGATGTCAGGGGACGTCGGCGCCCGCGGGGAGCCCGTGGGGAGGGTTTTCAGGTGTATCCGAAAGCACGGGCGGCCCGGCAGGTGTGGCTCGGGGGCCTGGGCGCCGGCCTGCACACGGGAGGGCTGCTGGCTCGGTCCCCGGTCGGGGCACAGGCCTGGGTTGCGGGCCAGGTCCTCCGCTGGAGGCGTGTGAGAGGCCACCGATTGATGTATGTCTCGCGTAAGGATGTTTCTCTCCCTCTCTTTCTCTGTTCCTTCCCCTGTCTCTGAAAGTAAATAAAATAAATTCTTAAAAAAAAAAAAAGCATTCACACGATCATGCTGGGTTTACAAAAAGGAGTCAGAGCTGTGTGCTCAGAGCGCCCAGCGAGAAACTGAGTATAAACAGCGCCCGACAGACGCACCATCGAAACAGCGACGGCGTGGTCTGCGCGGGGCGCCCGTGTGGGTGACCGCCCCCTTGTCCTGCTGCGTGGGCTGCTCACGAGTTTTCAAATGTTCTCTGATGAGCACGTGACTCCTACAAGGACACTTCCAGGAAGCTGGCACAGTGCCCCCCAATCAGAGTGACCCCCAGGCCTTTCCCGCCTGTTCTCTTGCTGGAACCTCAGCTTCCCGAGGACACTTGCCTTCCATGCTGGTGTTCAGGGCGGTGTGTGCACAGAGCAGAGGAGGTGCTCGATAAACGTTCACGGAATGAATGCGTGAGTGAGCCAAGAGTGGCTGGGTGCGTGGGTGGGGGTGCCAGCTGCACGGGGCTGTTGGTGCCCAGTGGACGTGGCGCCCTGTCTCGGTCCTGTTCCTGGCGGTGCACCTACCGGCTGTGAACAGCCAGCCAGCTTTGTAACCTGGAAGCCCCGGTGTCCTGACCTGTAAAACGGGTGCCTGCTGGGAGGGCTGCAAACGGCCACGAAACACCCCTCACCGGGGCGGGGACAGCCGACGCTGAGCTGATTAATGAGAAAAGCACTCAGAGAATTCAGAGGGAAAGAAACCTCCCTGTCTCAGATGAGTCTGAGGTCAGGTCTCGGCTGCCCGTGAGCTTCCCGATGGCCACAAGCCTCTGGCTGAAGCCGGCGCGTCCAGCCTCCCGCAGAGAGGATGGGGCCCCGGGCGCCTGTCACTGCGTGTGCAGCCCGGCTTCCCGCGGCAGGAGAGCATCTCGGGGGAGTTCTTTACCTCGTGCTTTTATACACAGAGGGACCCAGTGGGCCCACCTGAGAGCAGTATTGAAAATCGACCATTAAATGATGGGAACACACTTTGCGAGCACAAAGTGCCATCCGTCCACCCACCCATCCCCCCACCTGCTGAAGCGTAACTTCGGAGCATGCTCAGGGATGAGGAGTCCCAGCTGTAAACCTCTCGGCTGTCTGATATCTGGATCCATAAATAAATTGGGTACTGTCTTAAACTAAGCAATTATGTGCTATTCCATGGCCAAAAAAGGCGTCCAGCATGTTGTTGTTTAATAAAAGACTCAGGCCAGCCTCCCTCCTGGGAGCCCAGCGCGTCTGGCTCAGCAAGTTTGGGCGGGGCGGGCCGGCCCCTTCCAGGGAATCCACGTCAGAGCTCTGGCTCCCCTCCTCTGCCCTCCCACACGGAGGGGCTGGGCCCAGATGCGGGGGGTGGGGAGAAAGGCCAGCAGGGCTTTGCAAAACTTATTATTGTTATGATTTTGGCAAAGGTAACACAACAAACATTCCAAAGGTGAAGAAGGGCCACAGGAAGAGCAAGCCACCTCCCCACCCGTGACTGTGCGGATGGGGCTCTCCAAGTGGGTGACGCTGGTGTTCGATGTCTCTCTGAAAGCCGGGTAGCCCCGGCCTGCCACGACGATGCTCCTGCGTGCCTTTGAGGCACGTGACACACATCGACGGAGCGTCCCCCGGGGTGGGCTCCATCACACTGTGGAGGCCCAGCCCCCCGGCTGCCCGTGTTTCCCCAGTGACGTGGGGGAAGCGAGGGAGGCTCATGGGGTACAGGGTGCAGGCAGGCGCGAGGAAGGAACGTGATGGCCCATGGCCCTGAGCTGGCCACGGGTCCCCCTGGCAGCAAGCAGGTGCAGTGGAGGAAGGGGGTGGACCAGGAACCTGACACTGGGTTTGAGACGTCCTTCCCAGTGTAGTGGCTGGCGGGGCGGGTGGGGTCTCAGGTGTGGGCCTGGCACATCAGCCAGCTGGGAATTCCCACAGGGAAGGAGGGACCAGGACCACCCAGAGACCCAGGGCTGGGGGCAGGGCACCGGGAGGAGCCAGGGAAGAGGGCTGAGGGGGCTGGGCGGCGAGGGCGGGACAGAGGGTGCAAATGCCCTTCCCTCCGGGGAAGGCCCAGTTTCCTGGGGGGCGGGGTCAGGTGTGTCCATCACATTGAAGGTCGGGGAGACCCCGAGAGAGGACTGGCCGCTGACACAAGGGCCAGTGGTGGCCGTGAGGATGGTCCCAGTGTGGTGTGGATTAGAGGGCCTGGGGGTAGCCCGCTGGGCAGAGGCGGGCCGCATTTTAGGAGGTTTGCAGCAAAGGGAGCGAAGAGAGGGGTAAAAATCGAGGGCTGGATGGCAAAGGAGGATTTTATAGGCACTGAGACACTGCAGCCTGCGTGTGCGCCGACGACAGTCCCAGGAGGCAGTAGCCGGGCCGGGGAGGCCTGGGGGTCGTCCCACGCCGGTGGGCCTGCCAGTGCAGCAGGGGGGCGGGGACGCAGAGCCCTCCTTGGTGAAGGGCGGGGGCGTCCGCCCCGGGGGCGGCCGTCGGTGGCTTGGAGAGGGGAAAGGATGGGCTGGCGACTCAGGGCGATAAGGGCACACGGGAGAGAAGTCTAGAAGCTCGGCGCCGGGGGGGGGGGTGCCCCCAAGACACGAGGGGCACCAGGGGCTCAGGGCTGGGCGCGCTCTAGTTTAGTTGTGCTAATCCAGGTGCAGTCTTGCAGCGAGCGAGCTTGTGCGTGTGCAGGCGCGTGGGAGCAGGCGTGCAGTTTCTGGCCAGGGAAAGCGAGAGTGTGAGCGAGGAAACAGCCCGAGGGGAGAGGAGGTGGCAACGCTACAGAGGAAACAGGTTTCAAGCCTCCTCGATGCCCCTGCCTTTGGTTTCTATCCAGGGTGCCCCTGGCATGTGCTGACTTTGTGAAAAATGAAAACAAGAGACACCGTAGCAGCCCAGGCGGGCCATAATAGCACAGACTGGGCGGCCTAAACCACAGAGAGGTATCTCTCAGGGTTCTGGAGGCCCGAAGTCCAAGGTCAAGCATCCGCTGGGCTTGGTTGCAGGTGAGGGCTCTCTCTTCCTGGCTTGCAGATGGAGCCTTCCTGTTGCATGTTCACGTGACCTGTTCTTTGTCTTCTGTTCATGGGGTGGGGGGATATGGGGAGCCAGTGCGTGCTCTGGGGTCTCTTACAAGGACACCAACGCTGTTGGAAAAGAGCCCTGCCCTTATGAACTTATTTAACCTTAACTGCCTCCTATTGGTCCCATCTCCATGCACAGCCAAGGTGGGGATTGGGCCTTCAACCCAACCTATGCATTTGGGGGGACACTGTTCCGTGCACGGCCCGCATCCACTGAGTGAGTTAGATGCTGCTTTCTAAATCAAATGGGCTTTGGTATTCAGGCTGAGTGCCACGGTAGGCAGGGTCCTCGGATGGACTGACAAGGAGGAAAGGGCGCTGTTCAGTGAGGGTGGGTGGCCCACGGAGCCAGCGATGTCCCCAGCCCTGTCCGGCTGTTTCACAGAACAGCCCTCACGTCTCCTGACGCCACGGAGCACGGCCATTTACTTTGGAGCTGAGGGCTGGCCTGGCTGGAGCCCCGTGCCAGAGGCTCCGTCTCGGCTCCGGGCCGCTCTCCATCCCTCAGCTGTGCCCGCGTCGCTCCGGGAGCCGCCCTGTCCAGCTGGGCGGCCGCCCGCACCTGGCTGTGAGCACTGGAATCCTGCCCTGCGGGATCCCATGCGGATTCAGTGTCTCAATTTGGAAAGCGTACTTACAATGTTTAAGTATCGGTTACATACGGCTGATACTCGTACCTCTCGGTCAAGTGCACACTAACGTTATTTGCGGCAGTTACTTGTTACATGTTGTAAGTGTAGCTGTCAGGACATTTAGCTTTACAAACGTGAGGCCCACTCGTTTCCAGGGGTGGCGCCCCAGCACCACGCCGCACCCGCGTCGCCAGCCGCGCAGGTCGGGCCCCACCCGGCCACTTCTGCCCTCCTAGCCCCACCTGGGTCCGGGCTGCAGGGTCCGAGCTCAGTCGCACCGAGCCCGGCCTCTACACGCCCTCCCCACCTCAGCCTGGCCTCTTCTTCCTTCCACTTCCGTTGGACCGGACGGGACTCCGGGGGCGCCGCCGCGCTGGGCCGGCCTGCCCACAGTAGCCAGCAGGAGCGAGGGCTCGAGGCCCATCCGAGACGCGGAGCCACGCGCGGCCCCTTTAAGAGATACTGTCCCAGCCGCGGGCCGTGACGTCATAGCAGTGCGGAGGGCGGAGTAGCGCGCAGCGGCGGCGCGAGGGGGAGGGGGCCAGGATGGGGCGGGGCGACCGCCAACTGACAGGAGCGCTGGCCGACGCAGGCCCGGCCGTCGCGGGATCGCCCCTCGCAGGCCCCGCCCCCGCAAGACCCCCGCCCTCCCGGCGCCCGCCTTCCCAACAGCCCCGCCCCGCCAGGCCCCGCCCCCCGCCAGGCCCGCCCCCGGCGCACGCCCCGCCCCGCCCCGGAGCGGGCCTCGCCTCAGAGCTCGGCGGCGGCGGCGGCGCTGCGGGACTCTGGCGGCAGCGCTCCTAATGGCTGCGCGCGGGCCGCGCTGAGGCGCCGGCGGAGAGCGACGCGCGCGGGCCGCGGAGCAGCCGGAGCGAGCGAGCGCGCGGCCGGACCCCGGCCAGGCCCGGCCCGACCCGCTAAGCCCGCGATGCACCCCGGGGCCGCCGCCTGGCGCAGCTGACGCGCGGCCCGCGGACACCGGCCGGCCAGCCAGGCCACGATGGCGGGGAAGGCGGCCGCCCCGGGCACCGCGGTGCTGCTGGTCACGGCCAACGTGGGCTCACTCTTCGACGACGTAAGTGCCGCGGCCCTGCGCCCGCCACCCCGCGCCCCCGGCGCCCCGCCATCCCGGACGCGGCGCCCGGCCCGGAGCCCGCGGCGCCGGGCCTCGGTCTGAGCCCCGCGGTCTGGAGCCCGGGCCGGGCCCCGGGACGCCGGCCCCTGCGCCCTGCGAGCCTGGGCCCCGGCCCCGGGCCCCGCGCTCCGCTGGGACGCCCGCCCCGGCCCGCGGACGGCCCTCCGGAGCCCCGCCCCGGCCCGGCCCGGCCCCCGGCCCTGTCCAAGGTCCCCCCGCGCCGGCCCGGCCCCGAGCCGCGACCCCCGGGCCCGGCTTCTGTGCTGCGGGCCCCCGGCTCCCGGGCCGGCCCCGCGCGGAGCCCGGGCGGCGCTGCCCGTAGGGAGGAGGCTGCCGAGGAGCCCGTCCTGGCCGGCGAGGGCCGCTGCCCGCGGGGCCGCGGACCCGGTTCAGGCCCCGCCGCTGGGGCTGGGCCGCAGCCCCGGGACGCCGCGCGCAGCCCCCGGCCGCCCGGGCGGGAGCGGGGGCCCAGGCGACGCGGGGCCGGCGGCCGGGGGTCTCGCTCGGGCCGGGCGCTGCGCGCGTGTCCCGCCCCAACTTCTAGGAGCCCCGCGCCCCGCCGGCGGCCGGCGGCCCAGCGCCCGGGAGTCCGCGTCCCGCCCTCGGCGCTCTGGGGACGCGCCGCGGGGCCCTGCCCGGTGGGTCGCCGGGGGCTGCGGCCGCGGCTCTGGCTCCGGCGCCGCCGTTGGGGTCCCGCTGCGGGCGGGCGCCTCCGCGGCGCTGGGGCGGGAACTCCGTCGGCTCCTGCGCGGGGACCTGTCCTCTGAATTCGCACCCGTCGTCGGGGCGCGGGGCTCTGGAAGGAGCGCCGGTTGCGGGAACAGCGCGCGGATTGACCCCGCGGGACGCCTTTGGGGGCGGCGCCTGGGGGCGGGGCGCGGCACCGGGGTCGCAGTCGCCGCCGGCGCCCCTGCGAGACCGGAGCCCAGCGCTGAGCCCAGGGGCGGGGGCTCCTGGGGGGGGCAGGTCCGGGAACGACCGGTGTCCTGGTGCCGGAGGGAGAGGGGCGTGTCCTGCCTCTGAGGTTTTGTGTCCCCCCTTGTTACCCCCCACAGGGGGACCGCCGTCAAACGCTGGACGCGGACTGTACATCCCACATCCCGCGCTCACCTGTCAGCCCCCGGCTCCGTCGCAGCCCCGGATCGGCCCGGCCATGTGCATGCCCAAGCGGCCCCTCGTCCTGCGCCGACAGGCGAGGGTGTGACAAACACCCACAATGCACTGGCTCTCCAACTTTTGCCTCTTTCTGTCTTGAAAGTTAGAGAGGACCCCAAAGAGTCCTGGGCCGTGGGGGTGTACCTGCTGGTGTGGACCGCCGGGGTCGGCAGGCACAGGAAAGCTGGGTGGGACGGGCCCAGCAGGCACGAGGACGTGGAGGGGACCGTCGCCCTGTGTGGCTGAGACCACGGCTGTGGCCAGGGAATGCTTGCCAGGCGTCCCGAGCCCTCGGTGCAGGACCTCTGTCCCGCCGTAGCCCTTCCCAAGCCTGCACGGCCATCTCCCTGGCCAGGGGCGCCGGGACTTTTCCCAGGGTGCGGCTTCCCGGTAGCCCCAGCGGGACCCCGCTTACTGGGGAGGGTGGCCGGGGAGGGTGGCTAGGGCCCCAGACCGCACTGTTCTGCTTGGGCCGGCTGGGTTGACAAGGGGGCCGCCTGCCTGGGCCCTGTGCTCTCTGGCTGGCAGCGAGCTGGCGGGTGAGCCCCCGCAGGCCAGGGCTTCAGAGCAGGGCCACCCTTACATGGCAAGGCTGTCTCTCGGGAAGGAGGCCTGGGCAGGCAGCAGGAGACTGAGCGTGGCTCGCTCTTGGGTGGCTGCCTGGGAGGCCCATGTCCTGCTGCCTGCTCAGAGCTCAGCATCGGCTCTGAGCTGGTTTCCCTTTTTGCTCTGTCGATGCCACGCAGCCCTCTGCCCAGGGCTTGCAGGCCTGTTGTGCAACTGGGCTCTGCAGAGCCGCTGGCGAGGCTGCAGCCTCCCAGGGCCTTGCAGACAGCAGGGGTCTGTGGCCCGCTCCCCTGGGATGAGCAGGGCGGACGGCACCGGGGGCACTGGTCCCTCTGTTCCCTGCCCCATTGCTTTGCCCCCCTTGCTCTAGTCCCAGCCCCACCCTGACAACCCCCTGAACCCACGGCCCCTCCGCTGCCCGCTCGCTGCAGGTAGCAGGGATGCTGCTGGCTGCCCTCTGCCCCTTCCCCAGCTCTGCCCCCCCTCCACCTCCGGGCCTGGGGGAGCTGCCGGGACCTCGTGCCAGAGAGCCTCTGGCGGCTGGTCCTCTGCTTCCTCGAGGGCTGTGTTGGTGATGGCTTCCCTGAGGTGGCCGTCACACGCCACACACTTCAGCATGTAGGTGACCAGATGGTGTCTAGCGTGTCCTCCGAGTTGTGCACCTCTCACCAGCCACGTGGCGGACATTTCTGTACCTGAGAAAGAAGCCCAGCACGCCGTGTCTGCCACCCCCCTTCCCCCCCCCGCCCCCCGCCAGGACCCGTCCCTGGTCCGTCTGTAGGTGCTGGCCTGTTGTGGATGTTCCACGCAGGAGGAGTCCCTCACGAGGGCTTTCACGTCTGGCTTCTGTTGCCGGCTTGCTTTCAGCCTGGTTGCGTGTCAGAGCGGCCTTCCTGTTGGGGCCTGAGCACCGTTTCCTCATGGACACACCGGCGGCGGTGACCTGGCGTCGGTGACCTGCTGCCTGTGTGGGCACCTGGCCGGCTCCACGCTGGCCCCTAGGAACCGTGCTGCCACGCACACGCGGGCCCAGCGTTTACATGGACGTGTGTTTTCCTTCTGCCGGGCACAGGCCTGGGCGGGCACGGCGGCTGGGTGGGGACTCCTTGTTGGCCTGGCGAGGAACTGCGACGGCGGCCCCTCCTCCCAGCACTCCTCCTTATCGGTTTCTTTCCAAAGACCCCTTCCTCGGCTCCCTGGACACCCGCGTTTGGCTCTCGTCCTCACCGCCACCTCTCGGCCCTGCCGCCTTCTCCAGCCACGCTCACCTCCCGGAGAGCAGCTAGGCTCAGGCCTCCGAGGGCCATCGCTGTCCAGGCGCCGGGAGGCAGGGCGGGGGCCCAGGCCCCGGGCCCCGCATGCGGTGCTGCCGCCTGGGAAAGCCCAGCGCCCAGCATTCCGAGGCTGGGGAGGCAGCGGTCCTTGCTGCCCGTGTGGCCCGAAGCAGGCCCTGGTGTGGCAGGGGCGGGGACACGGACCGGCCAGCCTCTGCAGGGCTCCTCCCGCTCTCCTGGGCCCCTGGTCCCATGGGGGTGGCCTGTGGCATTGCTGCCTCTGACCTGGGACCTCAGTGCACTTTCTCTGTGGGCATTGGGTTGGTTTGCCCGTGTGTGGGACTCTGGGCTGTAGATGGGGACCCGCCCGCCCCCATGGTGGTAGGATCAGAGAGGACGGTGGGCCCAACCTGGTACAGTGACGGGGCAGCTTTCTCCGTGTCAGGAAACCACGCCTGCACACCTCTGACCCCCGGCACCGTCCCATGCCTGCCTTTGATGTGGCTCTAACGGAGGGCACCGCGGCACCGGCCTGTGTGCAGCCACTCGCCCCAGGCCTCCTGCCCTGTGGCCCGGCCCTCACAGGCTGTGCTCCGCTGCTGCCGGCCAGTCCCTGAGAGCTCGCTCTGTGTCATCTGTGGGGTTTCCTGTTTGTATCGGCTCTCCAGTCGCTGAGGGAGGGTTTAGCTCGCTGGTGGGGGAGGCACTTCTTCAACGTAAAGTATTACATATTTTGCTTGTGTGAACTTAATGGAGTGAGCACTGCAGGTCAGCCTGTTGGACAGCCCTGGAGGACAGGGGCGTGTCCCCTGCCCCTCAGCCTGGGTGACTCTGGGAAGTCCTGTTCCAGTGGGACACCCCTGAGAAAGAAGCCTCCGCTTGGGTTTGGGGTGTCCGCCCGCTCTCCCTGGGGCCGGGGAGGAAGCCGTGCTGCCCTCTGGGGCCGGCTCCGGGGGCGGCCGCCAGGTCCTGGGGAGAGGCCTGTGCTGGGTGGCCGGGAGTGCCGCAGGGTGGCCAGGTCGGCCTCCAGCAGACCGTCCCCGCGGAGCCCCCCGACGGGCAGGGGAGGTCACGGGGCGGGTGGCCGGTGGCGGGGCCGTGGCAGGGCCCCGGGAGGGACGACGGAGTGGTGGCTTCTTAGTCGACCGCCTCAGCTTCTGCTTGGGTGGGTGCGCAGGGATCTCCTGTTGGGAGGCGGACTTGGTCCAGGAGCGGGGCCCAGCAGGCGGGAGAGGTCAGCACAGGGCTGGCGGCCAGTCGGAAAGGCAGTGCAGGGTCTCAGCAGAGTTGTGGCCACCTGTTGGTCATCCCTTCCCAGAACCCAGCCCGGCCGTCCCCTGTCCATGTGCAGGCCTCTCGGACCGGGGAGTGAGCCTGGGGAGAAGGCCCGGGTCTGCGGAGCGGGAGGCGGCGTTGCCGGAGGCGGCATTGCCCGAGGCGGACATGAGGCTGCCTTCTGAGGCTGCTCCTGGGAGTGAGGGCAGTCGGGGCTCTCCTGCCACGACCGGCTCCCCGGGGGGTGGCATGAGGAGCCGGGCTCGGGGCTCGAGGCTCGAGGCTCAGTTTCCACCCGCCGGGCCCCTGGCAGGGGTCCCGCAGCGCGCTTCCTTCTCTGGGGTGTCAGCCTCTGCTCTGAGGGCCCATCCTGCCCGAGGTCCAGGGTCCCCCGCCCTCTGCAGTGAGCACAGAAGGCTCAGGACTCTCGGGCCCCTCCAGGGCTGCCTCCTTTCGGGAGCCTGTGAGATTTCAGGGTGTGTGTGAACCTGGGAGGGTCCCAGACCCCAGGCTCTTTGGGGGGCCAGGTGCTGACCTCGCTGGTGGCAGAGCTCTGAGCACCCTCACGGCCTGACCAAGACACAGGGGGAGGTCATGGCGGCAGCTCCGCTGGCACGTCTCAGATGGGGGACCAGCATGGGGCCCCTTGGCTTCTGCAGGAGACGTGCA